ACCTAGCAATTCAACCTCACACTATTCAACTGTCCTGCAATTTGATGGTTGAATTTGCAGGGAGGTTGACTTGCAATTCAACCCTTGCCTCACAATTCAACCTGCTTTGGCCACTTGTTTTTTTGCATTTTTGTTCTTATCTTTTTGAATGAATGAATGAACAGAAACCCTTTATTTGCCGCTTTTCAGCATTCACAAGGTTAAATCAAAATGTCCACAACCAAACCTCCTTCCCACCCAGCCCAAATCCACTCCATGACATTTAATCACTTCAGAGCAGGAAACAGAGCACACATTTTAGAATTTGAATTTTATAGTTTGAACTTTTTGAATTTTATAGTGTGTCTTGCAATTCAACTGATTCCTAATTTGACCCTATTTTGGCAATGGATTAGGGTCACATTGCAAGGTACCACCTGTACATTGCTTCTCAAATGGATGGGAGTGACTTTTTGAGCAAATGAACTCTTGCCTTCAAATTCAGCATCATATCAACACCATTAGCAGCAGTTTTCAAGCCCCGCGAAAACCGGAAGTTTTAGCTTCCCCTGATTCTTTATTACCCCCAAATGCTACAGTTTCCCTCAACAAGAAAAACGCCCTGATAAGTTGAATGTTTCCGCTGTTGGTCCTTGGAATTTGACTCCAAGAGGTTTGACTGCATCTTATCCCTCACAGAATGCCAAATACCTGCCCTGTTTCAGGTAGTAATGGTGAAACTGTTCTGCAAGTACAGTACGTCGATCGACTGATGGGTCTTCAGAGCCACGAACACACCCACCGTATGCCAGGGAAATCTCGCACGGGGTTCCGGTTGCCCTAATGAGCCCGGCTTATTAATCGGCACGTCGCGTTCTCAAATATATAGATCCCGCTCTTTTCCTCCTCACCCCACTCGAGGGGTGGGATCGGGTCATAATAAGTGACAGGGGAGTAGCACTGATTTCCATCCGGGGGCGAGATCATTGCCCCGCGCCCGCGTTCCGGAAGGGAGCGCGAACCCGGGTGAGTAATTATTTTCGGTCACGGAACCAACCGCGCAGATGAGGGTTTAAAAGTCCGCGGAAAATTGGTCATGAAAATAAACATCAGCGCCGGGGACGAAACCTTTCCACCACCCCCTTCTCCTTCTTCTTCTTATTTCCCAATGGGCGAAGGAATGCGACTTTGGATAACCTCAAGGAATAGCACGGAAACCCGCGCGAAGAAATAAAAAAGCCCTGCTTTGCGTGCAGTTCAGGAAAAATACTGACTGAGACTGGAATCTAATTTTTTGTGTGACGAATTATCGCAGTACTGGACCGGGGATTATATATTCGTTCATACCTGTGCAGTTGCACGAAGTAAGGTATAAGTTGACAATTGCCTTCCTCTTTTCCGTTGAAAATTCGATCAGCTACAGGACAAAGCTGGTTTATGATCGTCAGGTCCGTGACTATACCACAGGACTAGCAAATGACTGGAAAATAAATTGAAAATTCGAATTTACGGAGAAAAAGAATTGATCTCACAAAGAAAGGGTTTCATAGTGTATGGAGTAAATTCAGTGGAGTTTATTTATTCACTGGAACAGGAGAGCCCATAAAATAAAATACACACATACACACATGTGTTTATCATATTAATGCACATGTATATTTATAAATATGAAATTAATTTCTTCAGGAAGTTGAAAGAAGTTTTTCATTGATTTCATGTTTTGGCTGCTGGTAATTTTTTATTTACGAAATTTTCTCGGCATGCTGCGTGATGAAAAATATAAACTTACGATGACAGCAAAATGTACCTCGATCTGCTTTCATTTTTCAGTTTTTCGAAAGATTGCTTCTTGTCTGACTTTATTAACACTTCAACTGACTAGGATGATGCAAAATATAATTTCACGCTTTCAGCTATTAAAGTTGACATTTTTTTTTCATCTCACAGCATGCTGAGATTTTTTTTTAAAATTCCAAACAAAATTACCAGCAACCAAAAATGTGGGGGAAAGGTTAGATAATTTTTTAAAATTTCCCAGACACTAATGAAAGATCAGAGGCTGCATACAATTTGGACAACCCTGGTAATATTTCTGCATCCTTTTTCATGCATTAACAACAAGGATATGAAAGCCAACAATAGGTGAATTCAAGCTTTCAAGTATTCTTGCGAGGAAAGAACAAAAATTCAACTCGGCCCCAGCACGTAAAAATGAAAAATTATGTCGAGCTAAAAGTTTAGGAAGCAAGTGTACATCGAATGGTGATACAAGTTGGCAGAGAATGCGAGGTACAGTACTATAAAGGTTTCTTATGCTCATCTATGCATCCTACTGTTTATTTATACATTTGTACATATCTTTTACTCTCCTCGCATTTCTAATTGTCTTTATATATGTTCTTTTTTCTTCAGCTTATTTCTCCATTCTCTGTCGGTCATTGTGATTTTTCTCAACCTGTCTCTCCTCCTCCATCTCTCTCACTTTTCCTCTTTGTATTTCTATCTCTCCTCTGGCGTTTGTCTTTCGTCTTACTCTTTCCGTTTGTCTTCCACGTTGCGTGCGTGTGTGTGTTTAGTTCTAATTGCTTCCCCTTATCTCTGTCAGCATCCATTGATCTCCCCATTTCTCGCCTGGGAAAAAAGAAAAGACGGAAGAAGAGAATGACTCTTCGCCTATACTGTAGTGTCCGTCCACACCGGCTGCCGAAGTTCGTCAGCTGATGTCGGCCGTCTGGACCCCCGCCGCGCAGAGGGCAATTAAAAACGGCCGCCGAACGCCGTTGTTTCCGCCCGGGGATCGTGCGAGTGGGTGACGAAGGCGGCCCGAGATGATGGAACGCACTGCAGGCGTCCCGCTCTCATGTTTGCCAGTCACGGAAACGCGGAAATATAATTAACGGCGCTCGAAAAGAATGATAATGCAGAACAAAATCATTGCTGATCGCTGCGATCCAGAAAAAAAAAAGATCAGAGTACACTGTGAGCAGGATTCGAACCCGCGCGGGATTCTCCCATTGGATTGCTAGTCCAACGCCTTTACCGCTCGGCCATCACAGCTCCTGTATTTAATTAACAAAATAAAATGAAATTGGAACTTTTTTTTCTCTCGTGCGGACTGGAACGCTTAATGCAAAAATTCGTTCAGAACATTTGAATAGATCAGGATGGACCATGCCTGCTGTAAAATAAGAAGAAAAAAAGGTGTGTGATTCATCCAATGAAAAAGTTTCGAAATCGTGGTTGGAAGCAAAATTATTTAACTGCATCTGAAATGCACTTCTGACTCTTCGATCGAGAACAGAACCGTGAACTAGGTGATTTCAAGTAAGTCAATTTCCTTTCATTTTTTCCTCGGAGGTTTTTCTTCGGGAAAGTCCTGTCATATTCGTCATTAGGAATGAGTGATGAGGTGACAAATTGCTCGACTTGGCTACGGTTTTTTGCTTTTTGAATTTGCCTTCAGAAACAAGACGCGTACTATATTCAAGTATGGAACATGATTCAAGAAGTATGCCGAGGTTGTTGCTCCTGCTGACTCCGTAATTGTGCCAAAACTGAGATTTTCTCCATATTGCTCGAGCAACACGAAAAATCTAATATCGTTTCATGACCGGTTACCACAACGAGCTAATAATAAGTGCCTTTTTTTAATTGGTTTTCTTGCCCTTTTTGGCGAACGTTGATCGATTTCATTCCAGTTTCGAAAACGTTTTGTGCCAATATATTTGAGGATGGATTTATATACACGAAAGGGCATTGAATTATTCGACTCAAGCTTACAAAACCCCACCGCCGTACCATTTTTGCGCAAGAGTTTTCCTTAAACTATATTTTAAAATATCGATTCTTGCGCTAAAAATAGCAATATCTGAAGCGAAATCCATGTTTTCCGACGACTTTCATGAAATTCTTTAGAGGGTGTGGACAATTTTCACAGAAACATTTGCACTTCGCTAACTAATATTTAACACCATTCGTCGAGTTCTGCTTTTCCACGCCTAGGATTTGTCGGAAGAAAATCCATATCCAATCAAGAAACACGGTTCGATTTATATCCCAAATAAACTATCCTACACAAGTTAAATTCAAAATTTAAAACATTCCTAGATATGTTTTTATGAAATAAGATTGCCAGTTCGGCAAAAGCCTTCTATCTTCTCCAACATTCAACACTGTATACAAAGTACGGGGTTTCAAGAAGCCCGAAAATGTTTCACGAGGAAAGGACTCGCTCAATTGATGTTGAAAAATTCGTTAAATTTATTGAAAAATATTTTATATTACTTCAATTTATTATCCGATATGAACCATCCTAAAGTAAAAAAATTTTCAACAAACGTTTAGATGGAATAAAATCGTCGGTTAAAAGCCGTGTCCCTTCTCCAACATTCCTCAACAGTATGTTCAAAATTCGGGGGTTTTCAAAAACTCGGAAATTTGTCAAGGGAAAAGGCCTCGTCCAATTAATGTGGCATCAATTATTAATGAAATAAATGTAGTCCCCAAATTTTACACGATATTTTTATATTAGTTCAATTTATTATCCCAAATAAACTATCCTAAATAAATTAAATCTGAAATCCAAACGGTTTGAGGAAATAAAATCACCAGCTGGGCAAAATTCTTCTTCCTTCTACAACATTCAACAATGTAAAGGTTTCAGAAAGCCGGGAATTCGTCACTCTGAAACGTCTCGTTCAATTAATGTTGCATCGATTAATTAGTTTAACTTAGCACCCGACATCCACAAGAAATTTTTAAATTAAATACTGCAGTGGCCCATATATGTATAATGAGTCGGCAGACGCCATCTCCCTTTTTCAACATTCAACCCTGAATGAATGCGGCGGTGGTTATTATTTGACTTATTTCACTCACGCCCCGGATTTGTCACAAGCAAACAACACCTCGGGCAAAGAAACGAGGCATCACTTAATTAATCAGGTGAAAAAAGGCGGTAGTTTTTTGTGGGGGGGGGGGGGGGGGGCGGACTCGGTCGATGAATTAAGTAATGATCCATTGTGTCGGAGTGTGTGTGGCTTCGCCGACGCGAAGCGTATAATTTTATTACGGGCCAGAGGGCGGCGAGAATAAGAGGAGGAGACGGGTTTGCATTTCGCAGCCCGCGGGCTGCGGCGTAAATTACACATCGCGCGACGATGATGAGGAGAGTAGAATCCCGGGTTCCCCCCCTTGATTGCGGGTTGTGGCGATCGGGAGCGATCCCGGGGCAGGGACGGATGACGCCCAGGCCCCCTTCTTCGTTTTTGCTGGTGTCGTTTGTGTGTGTGTGGGGGGGAAATACGCTGCGTCGCCTCTTTCAATCACGGGCCTTGTTGGACCGATCAAACGCCCCCCTCTGTGGGAAACTGGGTCTATATATAGGGTTGGTTCTCTTGCTGAGAACATCTGGTTTTTACACATTTATATGCTGCAGTCGAACCACGAAGAGACGTCGAAGTTTGCTAGGAGAGTTTTTTCCTTTTTCTGTTGGGAATGTTGAAAAAAAGTTGGCGGCTTATATTAAAGACTAAAGAGTTCATTTTTCAAATTACAGCAGGTGGACTCTCTCTATTTACAACAAAATTCAAGGGATCGGAAGAAACGATGTGTTGTAGAGAGACTTTTGTTTTAGAAAATCCCTATATAGCATCGGACTCGCAAAAAAATTTGATGTACAGAGAAGATCGTAATAGAGAAAGTCCACGTGTATTTTATTATAATTACAGCATTTGATTTTCCTATAAAAATGGCAGGGATAGATAAAAAAAAACGAAATTCTCTTTTTTTAAATCATCATCGTGCTGATGGATTCCTCTTTTACCTGGTGAATTTTACTGCATCCAACTTCAACTTCGAAAATTAAGCCTATATCTTCTGTTTCAAGGAATACATATTTCCATTTTATCTTTAAAGAACAAGATCCAAAGCAGAATATATAATTATACTACTCCAATGCCGGTGCTACGAAGCAGACAAACTAATGACTAACTACACAATCATTTCATCAGTAATGTTGATGGAGGGCAATAAAGATCTTATTGAGGTTTTCGAGGGGTTTTAACGTTAGGATTGGTTTGGTTCACGATTTCAGCATTTCCCAAGGGTTGTGGTTGCTGAAAAGGTTATGCTTTATTCAAGGACATTTTAATCAGGTTTTACTTTTTTTTAGTGGCTCAGTTTAGTCAACATTTTTCGCGTGTTGAAAATATTACTTACTTGCCGGAGGTCTCTTTTCAAAATTTAGGACATATCAGTTGCTTGCTGGGCATCGCATTGTAAAATGATTAAACGAAGCTGAGTAATTGAATAAATAAGATTGTGGGGTTTTTGGATAACCTTCACAGGCTTCAAAGATTCTGGATTTAACTTTATTTTTAATGATTAGTTGAAGTCAAGGTTTCCTCGTATGCTGTAGAATCTTTTTGAGCAAATGTAGCCAGAATGTCAGTTGAATTATGCATTAATACCTTATTAATTCTTTAAGAAAGGATGATATGGATAAACCTGAAAACTTTCCCAAATCCATTGAATTAATCCTATGGCTGGAATACAGAAAATGAGTTTCTGCTTTCCTTTTAGCCCATTTGTGATAGGAAAAAAAGAAGAATTTCCTTAGTTTTCTCCTCGAAAATACTGTAAATGTGCTTCTTTTTTTTCCTTTCCCCACGCGTTGCAAGAAAATTTTGAAAAGTTTCCCTGACTCTAGGTTTGTAGCTTTTCATCGTTACTGTTTTCCTTGCCGTAAGTCTCATATATGTAATTCTGATTTAACGAATTTGACGTAATTCTCTTATTTTAGTACACTCTCTCAAATAAATTATAATCTTTCAACATCATTTGGTTACCAAAAAATTTATTGGAGTTTTTGTCACAAATAATAAGACCTGTAAAAATAAATGTATTAGCAGTTCCGTTT